GGGGTTAGTAAATATCTATTCCCAGTCTGGGGGTTGCCTATTTGTCTTGCTGACTGTGTCCTTTGCCTTACAGAAGCTTCTCAGTTTCAGGAGGTCCCATTTATTAATTGTCGATCTCAGTGTTTCTGCTACTGATGTTCAGGAAGTGGTCTCCTGTACCAATTCGTTCAAAAGTACCTCCCACTTTCTCTTCTAACAGGTTCAGTATGGCTGGATTTATTTTGAGGTCTTTGATCTGTTTAGACTTAAGTTTTGTGCTTGACGATAGACATGGATATGCAGTCTTCTACATGCCAATATCCAGTTATGCCAGCACCATTTGTTGAAGATGCTATCTTTTTTCCATTGTATATTTTTAGCTTCTTTGTCAAAAATCAGCTGTTCATAGGTGTGTGGATTAATCTCAGAGTGTTAAATTCAATTCCACTGGCCTACTTGTCTATTTTTGTGCCTATACCAAGCTGTTTTCAAGAATACAGCTCTATAATAAAGCTTGAAGTCAGGAATAGTGATGCTTCCAGATGTTGCTTTGTTGAGCAGGGTTGTCTTGCTATCCTGGGTCTTTTGTTTTGCCATATAAAGTTGAGAATTATGCTTTCAAGGTCTGTGAAGAATTGTGCTGGGATTTTGATAGGGATTGCATTGAATCTGCAGATTGCTTTTGTAAGGATTGCCATTTTTACTACATTGATCCTACCTATCCAAGAGCATGGAAGATCTTTCCATTTTCTGGTGTCTTAATTTCTTTCTTTAAAGACTCAAAGTTCTGTTTGGTTAGCATTACCCCCAAGGTATTTTATCTTGTGTGTGGCAATTGTTAAATGGTGATGTTTCTCTGATTTCTTTCTCAGCCCTCTTATCATCTGTATATAGCAGGGCTACTGATTTTCTTGAGTTGATCTTGTATCCTGCCACTTTGCCGAAGGTGTTAATCAGCTGTAAGAATCCCCTGATAGAGTTCTTTGGGTCACTTATGTAAACTATTATATCATCTGTAAATAGTGAAGGTTTTACCACTTCCTTTCCAATTTGTATCCCCTTGATGTCTTTTTGTTGTCTTATTGCTCTAGCTAGAACTTCGAGTACAATATTGAAGAAGTATGGTGAGAGGGGACAGCTTGTCTTGTTCCTGATTTTAGAGGAATCACCTTGAGTTTCTGTGCATTTAGTTTGATGTTGGCTGTTGGTTTGCTGTATATAGATTTTATCATGTTTAAGTATGTCCTGTTATCCCAGATCTCTCCAAGACCTTTATCATGAAGGGGTGTTGGATTTTGTCAAAGGCTTTTTCAGCATCTAGTGAGATGATCATGTGACTTTTGTTCCTCAGCTTGTTTATATGGTAGAATACATTGATAGATTTTCTGAACCACCCGTGCATATCTGGAATGAAGCCTACTTGATCATGGTGGATGAGTTTGCTGATGTGTTCTTGGATCTGATTTGCCAGAATTTTATTGAGTATTTTTGCATCAATGTTCATGAGGGAAATTGGTCTATAGTTCTCTTTCTTAGTTGTGTCTTTGTGTGGCTTGGGTATCAATGTTATTGAAGCCTTGTAAAAAGAGTTTTGCAAAGACCCTTCTACTTCTATTGCATGGAATACTTTGAGGAAAATTTATATAAGCTGTTCTTTGAATTTCTGGTAGAATTCTGCACTGAAGCCATCTGGCCCTGGGCTTTTTTTGGTTGGGAGACTTGATGACTGCTTCTATTTCCTTAGGTGTTATATGTCTATTTAAATTGCTTATCTGTTCTTGATTTAATTTTGGCAGGTGATATCCATCCAGGAAGTCATCCATTTCCTTTACATTTTTGAATTTTGTGGAGTACCAGTTTTCAAAGTATGACCTGATGATTCTCTGGATTTCCTCAGTGTCTGTTGTGATGTCTCCCTTTTCATTTCTGATTTTGTTAATTTACATGTTCACATTCTGCCATTTGGTGAATTTGGATAAAGGTTTGTCTATCTTGTTGATTTTCTCAAAGAACCAACTCTTTGTTTCATTGATTCTTTGTATTGTTTTTCTAGTTTCTGCTTTATTGATTTCAGCCCTCAATTTGATTATTTCCTGGCATCTGCTCCTCCTGGGTGAGTTTGCTTCTTTTTGTTCTAGAAGATTCAGCTGTTCTATTAATTCTGTAGTGTGACTTTTCTCCATTTTCATCATGTGGGCACTTAGTGCTATGAACTTTCCTCTCAGCACTGCTTTCAAAGTATCCCATAAGTTTGTGTATGCTGTGTCTTCATTCTCATTGAATTCCAGGAAGTCTTTAATTTCTTTTTTTATTTCTTCCTTTACCCAAGGATGGTGCAATTGTGCTTTGTTCAATTTCCATGAGTTTGTAGGGTTTCTGCGATTTGTGTTGTTGTTGAATTCTAATTTTAATTCATGGTGGTCTGATAAGATACAGGGGGTTATTCCAATTGTTTTGTATCTGTGGATATTTGCTATGTTTCCTATTATGTGGTCAATTTTAGAGAAGGTTCCATGTGGCACTGAGAAGAAGGTATAACCCTTTGTGTTTGCATGGAATGTTCTATAGATGTCTGTTAAACCCAGTTGGATCATAACTATTATTAGTTCTTTTGTTTCTTTGTTAAGTTTCTTTCTGGAGGTCCTGTCTTTGATGTTGAGATGTGTTTCTTGGATGCAGTAGAAGGATGGGTTCTGACTTCGTATCCATTCTGCTAGTCTGTGTCTTTTTATAGGCAAATTGAGACCATTGACAATGAGGGATATTAATGACCACTGATTGATGATTATTTTTTGTGCTTAATTTATTGATTGTGGAGTTACTGTGTGTAAGTTCTCCTCTGTTTTTCTTTTGGTGTTTGGTAAAGTGGGATTATCTTTTGCCTGTGTCTTTCTGAGTGTAGTTATCTTGTTGGGTCTAGGTTTTCCTTCTAGCACTTTCTATAGAGCTGGATTCATGGATACGTATTGTTTAAATCTGGCTTTGTCATGGAATATTTTGTTTTCTCCATCTATGGTAATTGAAAGCTTTGCTGGATATAGTAGTCTGGGCTGGCATCCTTATTCCCTTAGCATTTGTAGGACATCTGTCCAGGATCTTCTGGCTTTCATAGTTTCCATTGAGAAGTCAGGTGTAATTCGGATAGGTCTGCCTTTGTATGTTACTTGGCCTTTTTCTTTAGCTGCTCTTAATATTTTCTCTTTACTCTGTAGGTTTGATGTTTTGATTATTATATGGCGAGGTGACTTCTTTTTCTGGTCAAGCCTATTTGGTGTTCTGTAAGACTCTTGTATTTTCATAGGCATATCCTTCTTTAGGTTAGGGGAGTTTTCGTCTATGATTTTGTTGAATATGTTTTCTATACCTTTGAGCTGTATTTATTCGCCTTCTTCTATACCTATTATTCTCAGGATTGGCTTCTTCATGGTGTCCCATATTTCCTGGATATTTTGTGTTAGGGATTTGTTGGATTTGAGATTTTCTTTGGTTGATGACTGTATAACCTCTAATGAGTCTTATACACCTGAGATTCTCTCTTCTATCCCTTGTATTCTATTGGTGATACTTGCATTTGTAGTTCCTGATCATTTACCCAGCTTTTCTATTTCCAGCATCCCCTTGTTCTGTGTTTTCTTTATTGTTTCTATTTCAGCTTTCAATCCTTCAACTGTTTGAGTTGCTTCATTCATTTGGTTGTTTTTTTCTTGGTACTCTTTAGATTCTTTGAGAGATTTGTTTATTTCTTGAATTTTTACCCCATTTCATGGATTTTTTATTTGTTTTTCTTCTATTTCTTTAGGAGATTTCCTCGTTTCCTCTTTGAGGGTCTCTATCATCTTCATAAAATAATTTTTAAATTCTGTCTCCTCTGCTTCATCTATGTAGTGCTTTTCAGGTCTTGCTGGCATTGGTTCTCGAGATTCTGGTGGAGTCATGTTGGTCTTTCTATTGCTGAGTGAGCTCTTATCCTGTCTTCTTCCCATCTCCTCTTCCAGTGGGTGCAGGTGGGGTCTTTCTGTCTCCACTGTTCTTCTTCCTTCCTGAACCTGAAGATGGGGGCACTGACACTGAAGCTGAAGCTGAATCTGGAGTCACTGGAGGTTGGGGCCTGGAAGGGCTGATGCCTTTCCTGAACCTGGGGTCGCCGGAGGTTGGGGCCTGGAAGGGCTGATGCCTTTCCTGTATGTGCGGGTCTTCTGGGTGCCAAGAGTGGGCCCCTGAAGCTGGGATCTCTGGAGGTTCCATGAAGTTGTTTTTAAGGTCATTCCCTTCTGCTTCATCCGCATTGGGGCATTCAGGTCTTACTGGTGTAGAATCTCTAGACTCTGGTGGTGTCATGTTTGTTTTTCTGTTGCCGAGTGTGTTATTATATTGCCTCTTCCCCATCACATCTTCCAGTGGGTTTAGAATGAGTCTCTTCCTCTCCTGGTGGGTAGGCAACCAGGGTTCCCTTTTGGTGAGTGCAAGCAAATCCAATACTCTGTGGCCTCTGCTTTCTGTCCTCTGTGTTTCTTGACTTCCTAATGCTGTGACCCTTTAATACAGTTCCACATATTGTGGTGATTCCCAGCCATAAAATTATTTTCATTGCTACTTCATAACTGTAATTTTGCTACTGAATAGTGTCTCAGTTTCTAACATCATTGGAAATTTGTTTTACAATTATTGTAAGTCACAGGTTGAGCACTGCTGCTACATACATATATGCACATATATAGAACTAGCAGTTATTTCTTTTACACTAAATGATATGTAAGAAGAACAAGAGGTAACCAATATCATTTTCTCAAGAGATTCATCCAATTGTTCATTACAACTAAAATCTGGTCATGTTCAGAATACTGCATTCTTTCCCACACCAGAACAAGGCTCCAAACCCCCAGATATTTCCAAAATAGCAAATGGCATTTCAAAAAGTATAATATCTAAGGAAGTAACTGTCTTGTGGAGACATAGAAAATAGTAATTTTTTCATTAACTCAAATTTACTGATGATATTTTATTGACAAGTAATGTCTTACTTGAATTTAGATAGAATGATATCTATCCTTTGCAGGGTTACTTCTTGGGCAATCTCGGCATCCTGGAGAGCACACTAGAAGCTGAAATAGAAAAATAAAATAATATAAAGAAGAAGTCTTCAAAGACATTCAAAGTAGAAGCAATGGATTCATGCATTGAACATACTAGATTTCCCAGAGGTTAGCATATATATTGATATACACATCAATCAGAATCCAAGTCCCTGAGATAACCAAGAAAAAAATGTAGTATTTCCAATATATCAATGCCTATTGGATAGTTTTATGTTAACTTGACACACACTGTCATCATTGGAAAAGGAGGAATCTCAATTGAGAAAAATGTCTCCTTAAGATCTGGCTATAAGTAATTTTCTTAATTAATTGTTGATGAGAGAAAGCAAATCCATTCGGCTTATGGCATCCCTGGGCTGGTGGTTCTGTCTTATATAAGAAAGGAGGCTAAGCAGGCCAGTTAGCAGCACCCCTCCATGGCCTCTGCATCCGCTCCTGCCTTCAGATTATTGTCCTGTTTTAGTTTCTGCAATGACTTCTTTAATTGATAAATAGTGTTATAGAAGTATAAATCAAGTGAACTGTTCCACCAAAACTTTTTTTTTGATAACAGTGTTTCATCTTAGCAATAGTATCCCTAAAATAGTATAAGGTTAAGTTCTGGAGAACAAGATTTGGGGAAATTATCTTTAAACAAAATACAAGCAAATATACTATAACATGCCCACATTTTTCTTTGCAAGGGACAGGCTCTTGGATCTAAACTGCCAACCTACAGAGAGACCTTGAGAATGATCACCCAATTTCAAATTCACAGTGACATTTTTAAGGTTTCATTAAAAAGAATGGTTTGCTGACATACTGCCAGCCATTTCTGATGTGTTTGTAAGACTTACGTATTGACTCAGTCTTGTGGAAGGAGAAGGATTGATCCCACACAGTAATGTAATTGAAGGATTGGCAACAACTTACTCATTTCAGATAATAAAACTGTTTCTACTTTTGACACATAAGTTTTAATGTTGCTATTTGTGCATTTTATTTTCCTGAAATCAATTATAGTTTTTGAAAAATCTACTACTTTGTAAAATGATGGGTATGGGAGATGTCTATATCACAACAGAGCACAGGTGAGCATTAGTTTGGATTGTTTTTCTTTTTTCATGAAGACTGCTTCTATGGCTTGCAAAAATATTTGTCATATGGAAAAGACATTCTGAAATGGACTATTGAACAGATTCATGCAGAGGGCAAGAATACACACTATTTTAAATAGCATGGTAAACTCTGAATACTAATTTTGTGACCATCATTTTATAGGACATTATCATGAGTAGTCAGGTGGTAATCTTCCCAGGAGAAGGAGGAAATATAATCTTTTGTAGACTTAGGAGATAAGCAGATATTCTAGATATGACCACATACCCAACAATTTTAAAAGCTGGCAACTAGATATTCAGAGAATTCTTTTTAATCACACAGGAACAAAATGTGTCTCATCTTCATGAAAGTAAAGAGCTACATTCAGTTGATAATTCAAACTTTGAGAAAGAACGCAAGCTCCAGGTGATAAGATACCTAGGTGACACAGAAAGTATAGCCTTATAAGATACTGCAAACGGACTTATTTGTGATCATTTCTCTGACCCAATGACTCTGCAATAGCAAATTATTATTATTTAGGGCACTGGAAATGCAGCAGTTTCCTTCCTGGCCAGAGACGCTCCCCTTGGGACTGAAGTCTGGTGCTTCACTCTTGCAGTTCTGTGCTCTAACACTTCAACATACCTATAGGAAGACATACCCCATACATGAAATTCATAGTTTTAAGAAGTTATAAATGAGTGAATGCTAAAACTGGACTGAATCAGAGAAAATTTCATGGTCCCTGTGCAAGGATACTGTACAAATTCTTGAAGTAGTCCATATTTTTGTTGATATGGCCAACACCAGCAAAAAGTAAATATAGTTTCTAAGGAAAAAACTCAATGTATCTGCTATAATAACATAAAAATTAATATGCAATTTAACACTGTTAAGTAAACAAAGACTATTAATGTACCTTATCTATGCTTATTAGTATTGGATGTCTAAGATACCACAGATTTTCTATGTTTTTGGTAGCTTTCATTTAAAATAGTCTCACTAGAATCTAGCTTACTACTCCAGGTATTGAGCTCACAAAAGCATCTTTGTCAAAAGTTACAAGCGACTGGCTGCCTTTTGTCGATAAAATACAGCATTTTGTTTCAACCCTAGATGTGTTCCCAATGTATACTCATTTAAAGGGTCTACTTCCATTCTCTTAGGTACACAATAAAAAATTATCTTTGACTTCTGCCAGAGAACTGGGTAGACCAGATATTCACCTTTCTCTCCTTCAGACACAGCCCTTTGGTTTCACTCACAGCTCTGCAACAAAACATCTGCTTCAGCCTTTCCTTCTGCCTTAAACTCGTCTCCTGAGGATCCCACTGTTATTCCTCTCCTCACTTCCGTTCCCCATTCCTTGTTTTATTCCAGTATGGAATTTCAACAGGAATCCCTGTTAATGCAAAAGCCAATCCTGCCAGGGAAACAGTCCCAATGTGGATGTTCATCACTCATTTTATTCCACTCCCAATACTCTCAATCCCAGCTCCACATCCACTAGAGGACTAATATCCAAGATGCATAAACATTTCAAGAAACTTCATATCAAAAAACTAAATAATCCCATTGAAAAATGGGGTACAGATCTAAACAGAGGATTATCAAGAGAAGAAACTCAAGTGGCTAAGAAATACTTAAATGTATTCTTAGTCAACAGGAAGATGAAAATTAAAAGTATTTTGAAATTTTATCTTACCCCTGTGAGAATGGTTAAGATTAATAACATATGTGATGTCTCATGCTGGCAAGCATGTGGAATAAGGGGAACACTCCTCCATTGATGATGGAAATGCAAACTTGTACAGCCTGTTTGGAAATCAATATGGTGATTCCTCAGAAAGTTGAGAATCAATCTACCTAAAGATCCAGCTAAACCATTTTTGTACATATATTAAAAGGGCAACTCATCCTATTAAATGGGCACTTGATCTATAAATAACCTAAATATCACACAACAGAAGAATGGGTAAAGAAAATATGATATATTTACACATTGCAGTATTACTCATCTCTTCAAAAAAAGTGATATCATTAAATTTATAGGAAAATAGATAGTATTAGAAAAAAATCACCCTGAGAAAAATAACCCCAAATGAGAAAGATATTGTAGGTATTCACTTATATATGGTTATTAGCTTTGAAATAAATGATAAACAAATTGCAATCTATAGTATCATACAAGTCATGTTTAGAGAAATTGATTAGGAGGGACATATGAATCTCTAAGGGAATGGAAAACACAATGGAAAAGATTCCATGGATGCATGGAAAGAGACAGAGACAAAGACTGAGAGATAAAGAGAGAGAGGAGAGAAACCTTAGAATACACAGCTCTAAATGAGATATCTCAATGCTATTCCTCCCCTCAGATCTAAGGGAACACCTGTAAAAGGGAGGTGAAAATAGTGTAAACGCCAGAGGATTTGGAGGGGACCAGGAGAACATCCTCTAAACCAACTGAGCAAAGCTCATATGAACTCACTGAGTCTAAAGCAGCAAGAACTGGACCAACACGTGTCTACACTAAGTCCTTTGTATGTATCTGGCCAGTAACCATATATACTATGGCTTTCGGTTTAATATTTTTATGGGACCATGGGGTTTGTCAACAAGTGATTCTCTGATTCTAGTCAATTTTCTTGGGGCCTTTTTTCTTCTGTGGGTTGTTTCCTCTAGCTTCTGTGCAATGGTACTTGTCTTATCTTACTACATTTTAATTTTTGAAATATAAACATTTTCAATTTAACACAATGTATTTTGAGTGTATCCACCCTCAACTCAAGTCCTTATTCATCATAAATCCACCCCTGAGGCCCTAGCATCCCCAAATTTGTGACCTCAATGTAACTTTTTAAGCAAATCTGAATTAAAGAATAAAAACAATCTAAAAGAAAAAATACAGTACATTGTCAATTTAGTGTTGCCTATATGTTCATAGGCATAAGATCATGGAGATTAGCAAGAGCCAGTAACACTATAAGAATAATTATGATCCTTTCCCAAGTGTTTATCTATGGTCAATAGCTCTTCAGTTAGGAATGGGGTTTCATAAATTGCTCTCTCATTTATGCTCATTTGGCTGACCTTCTGTTGGAAAGATAGTACACAAGTCATGATAGCTACTTTATTTAAGATGTATTATATGTGTGGTATTAACAAAACATTTGCACATGTTCTGTTTTTATTTCTTTTTTCTTTTCATCGTTTAAAAAATTTTTGAGACAGTTTTTCTCTGTGTAGCTTTGGAGCCTGTCCTGGAATTCTCTCCGTACACCATGCTGACCTCAAACTCATAGCCTCCAAAGTGCTGGGAGTAAAGGTGTGCATGACCATCACCTGGCTCACTTTCTGTTTTTTCTTTTTTAACTGAATAATATTTAGTTTGAGTACAAAACTCAAATGTCCAATCAATCTTATGTTCATGGCAGTGTCCTTTGAAGTGCTGACTAAGTTGGAAAGTAAAATCAGTTTCACAAATATAAAAAGTATGTAAAAACAATGCCTGATGAGGTTTAAAGTGATCCAACAGGAACCATGCACATAACAAGAAGGAAGATCTGCCAGTGCTTAATAACTCTACTGTATGTAACTTTACAGCATCACTGACTCTTAGGAAAACTGACAGAGTAAGTATAACTCTAAGATAGCTTAGGCTTCCTAGTTCTTACTCATTAATTTTAGTTTGAAAAAAATAGCTGTCTTTAAAAAAAACCTATGCTAAATTCAATGGCTGTCAAATAAATACTCACTAGTGTCAAAAGTCGCAAGTGTCACAAATTTTTGTAACAAGTGAAACTGAGATATAATAATGCTTCTACCTTTGATGGAATTACTTGCTTAAATAGAAATTTGTTCTGTTATAGCAGAGGGTCACAAGAACCCCTCAAGATTTCCCTCAAAGATAACCTCATCTT